CAACCGCATCCATTTTTGAGGGGAATCAGATGGAAGCCTCGTCTTCCCCTTGCTGTCATTCCTCATCCACTTCCTCCCCATGTTTCTAATTCTGTGCCTTCTCCCTTGTGTTCCGTCGTGTATAGGGTGGTTCGTAATTTCGTATCAATCGCATTTACTGAACTGCTTTTCCTCACGAAATGGCTACGGAACTTGTTTCTTCGTAACATTCCGCTAATAGACTCGGTTTTAAACCCGCAAAACTGTTTTCTTGTACTTTGTCCGTCGTCTAAATTATAGATACAATCACGTTTCGAAAACTGTATCTTCTTCCATCTTCAGGTAGAAAAGAGATAGGACAAAAATTCTGTCTGTTGGGCCCCTGGCTTAGCTGGCCTCAGACGTGAACAACCTGGAAGCTGGCTAAAACGGGGAGCCCAAAAGATGTCCAAGAAAAGAGTTTTACAGATTGAAACGCACCATGGTGAGGAAATTCCAGAATTTATCTGAACTTTTGTTTCTTAACAAAATCCTTGTACACGAGGAAATGGAGACACATTTATTCGGTACACCGTTTGCAGGTTCAGTATGAACTTACGATTCATAATAAAAACACCAACTCCACGGGGGCATAGTCTTTACTGAGAAGCTAATGGTCGCTCAGCTGGCCAAGGCATTTTACAGAACTCAAAGGTTTCTCACCGCATTCATAAGAACCGACCACTGGACCATTATCTGAGCTACTTGAATTCAGTCCGTTCTATTTATGCAAGATCCATTTTAATATTATCGTTCTACCAAAAAATTGCTGTCGAGAAGTTGGCATGTCCCATACATATTTGTAAGGCAACTGAGCGAAAATCTCGGTCCGGATACCGGTTATCCTGGCTGAGGTTTTTATCTGCCACATATTAAATTTGAAAATGTTGTAATCAAATTCCTCAAACAAGACAACCCTATATGTGTCATCCAAACCTGAACCAAAGAACTTTCCTGGGCACGGGTAATATATATCACTCGACCCGCTACCAACCAACTTTTCAACCAAATACGACTTACCGGTCCCTCCCTCACCAAATAAAAACAAACCCTGGAAATAACTCCCACACGAAATTCTACGATTCCACCATGAATAAACTTCACCACACCACCCCCCTCGCCCCCTATACCATACAGAGAATGGACGCGAAACATGCAACGTACCTCATTGTAAAATTCCTCAATGTACCGGAATTTATTATTGTGTTCACACACGAACGGATCCGATACCTTGTATACATCCGTACTTCTACACCAAGAGTACAACCGGTAATAGAACGAAAGTTTAGAAGTTGAAACGTTGTGGTAAGCATCTTCATCCTCCTTCGTAATATAAATCAACCAAGACTTACTTGACCGACAACGTTCAACATTTACAGTAGAAGAAAACCAAGAAAACCAATTTCTTATATAATCACAATCAACACAATCATAAAATTTCAAATAACAACGTAAATGATAATTACCAGATTCGTGCTTTTCCAAACCTACACAATAACTCTCAACACCTTCAACATACAATAAAACATCACTACGTACACAGGAACATTACATAGGGTGACACAAAAAACCCTACCTCTCAACTTACTCATAAACTGTGGGACTTAGAAATTTTCTCGGACTTACAATATTTTCTAAGTACACGTCTCCCCGGAATCGTGCCTAGTCACTTAATGGCACGATTCGTTATTCGCTTTTAAATTTATTCCTTATCTCTTGACCTTTAACCTCTTACGTCATCACAATCTATCAATAACACTTTAACCTAACCTAACCCGTGACGTCACACATATCGCCACCCATATGACGTCAGCGGACCATTTGGAACACTGCCAGATAAATCACGCACTGCTTGCAACTCAGCATCAAAATACTTATACTGCCTACGAATAAACTCCAATAATTATATAACCTCTGAATACGTCTATAAAACATACTACCCATATTTCGATTACACAAATGAAGAACAGCCATTACATGAACAGAAGGTAAACCATTTCCATAAAAAAACAACAAATCTTTATTAAATCACTTTCATACAAATCAGATGTAAAATGTAAAGGAAGCATCTTTTGACCCCAACAACAACGCCTACACACTCAGCATACTCCAAAGCATTCATCTGTAAAACAAATCAGAAAAACCAAAATCAGAAACGTGTAGCGCGCGCGACATTCTAAAAGTATCCCAGGATCACTAACAGTAATATGGGCACAATAAAATCCAAATTGTAAAATCAAAACCACACGCGAATCCTGCGGAAACTTCTTCCCGTATCCTGTCCGATACTTTGTTCGTTAATGATCGTATGCCCCGAGCTACTGACAGCGGCATAGAATAAGTTGTTATCCTCCATCTACTTTTAGGTCTCTTTGCTCCGAGTTTCGTCGATATGCGCCTCGGCTGTCTGAGAAAGTTCGGGCTACGCGTTTCGCGGCGCTACACTTCAAGGTTTATTTTGGAATGAGAAATTTGATCCGCTGGAAGATGGGATGTTGATGAGAATTTAAAGCGAGAGAATTAACTGAAAGTAAAGGACAGGCTGTGCCAAAATTGAAAGATCACTAGCTTTGCATCATGAACCTTACTTTGTTTTGGTTTGTCTTTAAAGCCCAGTGGTAATTATATGTACCACCACCTGCTTTATCAAACAGATACTCTGCATTTTGTCCACACAGTTTATCTGTGGACTTCGAATCTTATTTAAACGATGTTCGGTGAATCCTCTGTCAGGATGGAACCGGCCAACCGCGTGTTCTGGAGGTCGTGGGTCTATTCGGCGTCTACGTACCAACTACTAACTACGCCTGTGTAGCATCGGGTGATATTGCAATCAATTAATTAATGACGACGTGGCGCAATCGTTTTCGTTCTCGCCGCCGTGGGTGCCCGAAATCTTCATGAATTCCTTGTTCAGCTTTCCATCAGGCAGCTTTTGCTAATGAAACAGAGTCTAGCCGTTTGCATGGGGACAGAGCGACAGTTTGAGATTATGCGACAAATTTGACGAGATAGGCGTCTTTACTATCGGAAATGATAAACAGAAATGAGCCGATAGATCATTAATTGTCAATTTGCATTCCCATGCGTGCTGTTGAACCCGGAAAACCTTGTTCATGCTGTTGTCAGCGTGGTCAAGGCATTTTGTTTCAACGGCCGTTAACGCTGTCATGACATGCACCGCCGCGTTGCGTCCACCAAGCCAGCCGCTCTGTGATGTATTTATAAGCCCCTTGGATCTGAAATTGTCTGTGCCAACGCAGAAACAATGTCGTTCCGGCTGTAGCAGCATAAGTCTATTTGGAGACGAGCAGTCTCTATACAGCAGACAGATGAACGTCTATCTGGGTGGAAGAAGCCGCTGTTGCCAGCGTTCGGAGCAAAAAGGGACCATTTCCAGAAATTGCAAAAACGACAACAAGGGTTGTTGGGAAAACAGCGCCTGTGACGGACGGGGGGCAGCTCGAGAGACATGGGTGTGGGTGGAAGATGACGCAGAAACCAGATAGAACCGTTTCAGACCCTGGGACTGTCTGTTCCGTCGTGTCACAAGATAACATTCGACAAGTCCAAAAGGCGGCTCGAGCTGCAGTTAAAGAAAAAGCCATCATTGATTCTGATGACGCATTCCATCGGGTTGTAAAGTGGAAAGTATTTTTCGGCGTAAGGAATCGACTTAGTTTGCTCTGCGCAACTAAAGTGAGTTTAAATCAAATACGTCGAAAGAAATCTTTAACCGCCGAGGTCATTTATTTTGCGTCACCTGGTGATCGGTACTTCGCGTTACGCGCCAGTTTTCTTCTACGATAAGTCCTTTTTTTCAGGAAAGTGACGAAGTTCGTTCTGTGCTTCACGTAATGTTACCAAATGTAATCGAAACTCATTAAGCAGTTTCCCGGATGGTAGTCTGACAAACATTCTCCTCCATTATGCGTTAATTTTTGTGCAAAGAACGCATGAAACTGCTTCCAGAAGGCTCCGTCTTTTTCTCTCTATTAACCGATAAATAAGGGCCTAGGCACGTAGATTACGGGAATGACGTCACTGGGGTTATATCTGGAGACGTTCCGAAAGCCGCCTGTAGGGTACCAGTGTTGGTGTTCTGCCACATACACGCAAACAATGCGGCTAACTAGCCGCAATTAGTTGCCATGGTTACAGTTAGATTTACGTGACGCCATTAGTGCTGCTCCTACACAGAAAAAGGCGAACTGCGAACAATTACCGACACTACTGTCGGGCAAAGAGTCTAGAAGGCGGGTACAATTCGTTTATAAGGCTTGAACTCATTATGTGTGGAAAAAACGAAGGACCGAACGTGTTATGCTTTGTTTTTTAATCCTAGCACAATTTAAACAATTTTTAGTACTAATCAATGTTCGTGTTAACTGTTTCTTGTAGTCTGTGAGTCTCTCATCGTCATCTCACGTATTAATTTTATTTTCTCTGGTTTCAGGAGATTGCATCAGACAGCACCAGGTGGCAACACTGCTGATAATCATGGAAATATAGAAGGTACTGTAATCTTAACTTAACTTAACTCAAAATACCCGTTCATCGGCTCGCGCTCGGGCCCCAGCATCTCCTCCATTCCTCTCTATCCCGTGCTCGGGTAGTCCAGTGCCTGGTGGTAAGGCCACGTAAATCCCTGATGTTGTACTCGACGGCAAGACAGTCCGCCCAACGAGCAGGGGGCCGACCCAGCGGACGCCTCCTGTCTCGTGGACTGTAATCTATTCAATTTAAATATTTGTGTTTATTATGGCGTCCCTCAGAACCCTGTTGCCAGGCTCTCTCAAATTGCATCTGTAGACGCAGATAGATTTCAATTAAATTTAGTTGATCGGTTGCAGTCCGGAAGGCAGGCAGGGGGCAACAGCTTTGTGAAGACTATATGAGTACTTTATTAACGGAACAACAAGTTTAGAACACCCAGAGCATAGACGTATCGAACAGGATTAAGGTTAACAGCAACCGTACCATACACATGACGTTCTATAGAGCAACTATTAGTAACATGCGTCTCGACCGCAACGATTATCGACCGTCGATGATTATCGCACTGCAGTACGGGTGGCTTAGCGCGTTTCAGTTCCTGTCTTATGTAGCATAGACTTCTCCTTTCTTTAGGTGCATGAAATAACAGCGCCGGTCTGTGCCTTGTGCTTCGAAACAGACACTGGGAATCGTTTAACCGCGTGCAGTTCAAGTATTATTCCCGATTTCCGGTCGCAGCTGGCCCAGTTTCTTCCCGAACTCACGCAAAATAATTTTCTACGTTCGGCGCACAGGGCACAACGACGCTCGGCGTCGTGATGCCCAGCGCTTCGCATCCCCATACTCGTTGTCTCGCGATATTTGCCCCGTTTCGGCTCGTGCCACGATCGCGTAGGTGCCGCGACGCCCGGCGTCTCTTTCTCGTCTTCTCGTGGATCAGAGTCACGGAACTTGTTCTGTTTCGTCGCAGGGTCACGTGGCGCTAATCTGCGTTACGACGTGGATCCTTCGCTTGAAATCTGGTGGGGATAAACTTCCTTGATCCCTCCTCTCAAAATAAAACGCGGAAGGCCGTCGGAACTTCTTTGTGACAGCCTTAGATTGGCATTCGACTGTACCTTGTTATGCACTTAATCTGTTGCTATGGCAAAATCGAAGCTGATAATCGTGTCTGTCTACGGAGGGACAGACGGCGAAAGGAATCCGTAACTGCACATTCTGTGAAACACAATACATAGGCCTACATCGAATGAGTTTCACTGCAACTTCCTGTAATTCTTCCGACATTGCCAGTTTACGTTATTTCAGTGTTTTCTGAAGCCACATTACAGGACTGTTACGTCTGTCCATTCCCATGCTTCATCTTAAAAATTATCACCGGGCGGATTTCCATTAAAGTGTTAACATTCAGGTGCAAAATGTTAGCAGCCCGATGAATTCGTCAAAAGAGGAAACTCGAAGGATTCTCAACTTCAGGGAGAAATACTTGTCCAGACACAGACGTCATCTGAACCCATGTACACATATGTCTATGTGTCGTGGCCTATTACAATCGTAATCTCATCTATTAGCAAGCAGAATAGTTAACGGCAAAGATATCACATCCATGATGTTGCCTGTCTTTGAACAACTCCCAGTTGTTTCCAGACCTCAGACCGCGCCACACCCTGGCGGAGGGCGAAGAATTACCCCTTTAACCTTCCGCCGTTGAAAAACGATCGTGTGAAGGGTCTCACATTGGTCCACGTGGTCAAAGTCTTTCATCACTCACAAAAAGCACGGGGGTGGGCGAGGGGGTGGGGGGGGCGTGGAGAGGGCGAGATAACCCCGTGGCATCAATCACTGGGCCCGCACCTCCATTATCAGCGATATATAATGTTTGGTTGGGATCAATGGCGGATGTCGGCCCCTGCTTACTTCGTTTGTGGCTGTAAAGTCGACTGCACCGCATTTATCACTTTGCGACCTGCAACACTCCGATGTCGATGACGGTCTTCTGGGTTGCAACGCCGCGAGAGCATAATATCACAGTCTTCAGGGCTGATAATGGAGGCAGTATGTTCTTACGTAATGTTGGACAAGTCCCTCATGATGGCTCTGGAGGAGTCCACTGAAACTTCAGTCTTGTTGTTACCTGGGATAAGTCGGGCGGAGGGTGAAGCTAACGCTCACTCCACCTAATATTGAAGTTTGGGCTGTGCGGGTGTTCTGTAGGTCTGATGTCTGTGCAGGGATACGGAATGAAAGTGTCTTAGTGCCACTCGGCAAATGTCTGTCCGTCAGTCGATAAGTTATCCTCCAGTCTGCGTATTTCTTCAGTGTTTGTTATCTTACCTGAGAATCCATGCTTACGGCACACGTCCACAACGAACTTCGGAAAAACATAAATTTTCCCAGCATTCCTATGCGTTTAGAAGAGACGACTGAAGTTGTGGAAAGCTGTGTGTGTGCGTACTAAATTTCCCTGATGCATACGCTTCAGCCGCGTGCAGATAACACGGTTCTGCTCCGGTGATACATCAGAGCAACGAGCTCTCGGTTTCATCACCTCGTGGAATGATCGCTCAGAGGCACGTCGCGGTTGCGATGATGTGTTTGTGCTCACTGAAGTGTTTGTGATGATACAGCAGTTACCGAGGAAACCAAAAAGACATGGCTGCAGGTTGTCTGTCAAATTCTCTGCGATATTACTTACACTGTGTAAAGTGGTCGGTAATGTAGAATTCTATCTCTCCGTTGCTAAGTAACGCTGCAGTAAACAAGAACCATAGGATCAGATAACGAAAGTTCTGGCGTCTTCATTCGTATGGAGGGTAGAGCTCTGTTCGCGATTATGTGTCTCACGACGTATTGGACTTAGGAAATATATTTCAATCAATTAACAAAGTCACTAAAATCAATGGCAGTTCGAAAGTTGTCAGAAGCGTTACGAGTACACATTAAACAGTGGATAAAAGTGGTTCTGATCGCGGCTATGCAACCGACAGACAGACAGACCCGAACATGTGTTCTTGCATCTTGATACTTTACGTAGGGTGCAATCATATGGTGAAGTCCTGATGATGGAGTTAGTGTATTCCTCCGAAACGTTGGTCTGTATCTACAAGTCTACACAGCGTTACAAACCAGCAGACCAGCGTCAACATGTTTACTGTAATGAGAACCTCAAATATCGCATATTTCCGTGGAGAAAATTCAATCTTGAGAAGCTGATTGCAGCTCAGCTAGTCGAGAAGTTGCCCACTTTTATGGAACCGTAATATTACTTACCGTGTTCAGAACAGTCCGCTCAGATCCGAGGTTGCATTTTATAACGTGATTTATTTTACGGCAGGTTTTTGTTAGCTTCCCCGCCCAACCATCAAGCTAGAAGAGACCACCCCTTGTCGACTGTCCGCAGCTGCTCTGCATTCCAGGAAGCCTCCGTCCCCAAGCAGATAGCTCGCCGCGTTAAACATGAGTTCATATCCGCGGAATGCGCTGATTCA